GTTTGGATTCTGGAGTGGAGGGGATAAAAATTTCTCACAAGGAGAAACTGAATCTGTTTTATGCTATCTGGACTCTGGGGGCAAAGATTCCAAAAGAAAAGCAAAAAGATCCCCACGCTTCTTGGCATGGGTTAGCCCTGAAAGACATTTTGGATTGACAGGTTACTACAAATCTATCACCTTTTGAATCACAGACTGAAACTCATTTGTGTGTAAATTTGCTTGCTTGCTTTAACATGTAAATAACTCTCTCATTTCTTTTTTCCTCATTATTAAACCTTTAGTGAGTTTATTACAGGATTGTCTACAAGCGCTGTCTTTGGTGTGAGATGTAAGGTACAAATTGACCTAGGGTAAGAGACGGGTCTCTTGGGACTGGAAGCAACCTGAATATTTTGTGATCTTTGGTGTAAGTGACCATTTATCACTAAGTCCAGCATGCCTGGGTGGTAATATAGACTGGAGTGCCCAAGGGGACTGTCTGTGATTCCATCACAAGACTGGTACAGTGCTTCAGGAGTTCATATTTGTTACTGGGTTGGCGAAATCTAATTATAGAACATACCACCAGCTTGGGGTGTCTGCTCTGCTTTTGGTTAGCACTCTCGGTTGTGAGCTACTCCAGACAGCATGACACTGTTCTTTGAATTCCTCCAGTAGCTCTCCTTTCTCCACCAAATCAAATACAAGTTTCTAGTCCTTGCCTTTACGACCATTCACAAATCAGCTCCTCCCTGCTTATCTGCTCTAGTACCTTTTTTTTTTAAACCAGACTTCATTGTCTTTTTTATCCACTTCTGTAAAATTGGGGCACCCTGTAGTTATGTACAGTAGCTTGTTGTGTACAAAATCCTTTTAATCACTCTTTCTCTTTGCTCATATAAATAAAGGCCATCACTGTTTAAGCCATCAGGCGTTCTTTAGTTTTAGAGAGATGTTTTTGTCCCCTGTTTTCCAGGCTTTTAAAATCCTCTGTGGTATTTTTAAAAGATATGTAGTTAGACATTGTTATCAGTCCAAGTAAGTCATGTACTGCTCTGTTTCTTGTTTCAATTTTTTAAATATTTGCTGTATCAGCAATTCCACCTAGCACTTTAATTATTCCAGATGACTCAAAACATGCTGGACTTAGCTCATTAGGTTTTGATGGCGCTGAATAAAAATTCTCCAACCAAATAAAATAGTAATCACCATGGAAACAAATCAGCCAATTGCATTTGTGTGTGGGACTAATCACTGATATTTGGTACCACAGAGCTCATAACAGCAATGACAAGGGTAAGATTAGACGTTTAGATGATTAGATGTTGCATAAAAATGTAAAATTACCAAAATTCTATTCCATATTAACGTGACTAGATGGTTTTCCTACTCTAGGTCTAAGAGGAAGGTCCTGTATCTCAGATACTGTGATGTGTTAACTCTTAGCAAATGCTGACTCCTTAATAGTGACTACTGTGCATTCAAGACATGCACAGAAATGGTCCTAGTAAGCAATACTCTAAATGTATTTTACATCCCTTCCATACAATCCAATGTGGGGTAGACACCCCTCTGAAAACTAACCTAACTGCTTTAAAATCTTACTATAAAATGGCTGGAAATTGATGGTTCAGCATGATATCAAGGTACCATCACTAACGGGTTCTCAATCTGGGGATCACAAACAGGTGTTGTGGGGTCATGACCTTCCAGCACTTCATATTTCACTTAAATGGCTATAGATCCCTGCTAGATAGAAGAGTGATCTGAGAATGGCAAAGAGGGTTGCAATAGGGGAAGGGATGAAAACTGCTGCTATAATTCTTGCTGAGAATGTTACCCACGCTGGTGTTTAACATGCACAGAAAGCTCTCCTATATTCAGTGAGATCAGAGACCTTTAAAGGCGGCTCTGATTGGGGGAAGATGGAGATGAGGTAAGGGTGTGGGGTAGGAGAAAACTGGTAACTCAAAAAACATTTTTCTTAAATCTTCCCATAACACCTTCAAAGAACCTGCCAGGAAAGAGACCAGTATGTTGATTTAAACTCAAAGTGAAACGAATCTGCTTGTTATAGTCTCTGTAGAGCCTTAAAATCAATAGGCTTTTATTGGTTAGGTTAAAAAAAAAAAAAAAGGCAAAACATGATTCATAAATGTGTTATCCTCTAATCTGTATTTCTGGAATGATTATTATTTTTCAGGTGACAGTTATTTATTTTAATTAAAGTTGTTACATATTTCCTTTGAATTGGGAGTAATCATGCAAGATGATTGCAACCTTTTCCATACGGGAACCGTCATGTTACAACAAAAAAGTTTTGCCTCCCCAACATAGCCAGGAAGAAAGCCTTGGTTGTGACTCTTCCCTGGATTGCAAACTCATTACTTATGGTATGTAGCAAGTTCCAGACAGGATTTGAGTGCTTTTCAAAAGCAGATGGGTGATATTATCTCCATTTCACAGATGGGAAAGCTGAGGCACAGACAGGTTTAAGTGACCTTTGGTGGTTCAGAGGCTGGGTTAGGTATGGAGAAGCATCCACCTATTCAGATGTTCATTCGAACTACCCAATTCTCTTAAATCTGCAAAACAGGGCGGGAAAATGAGGCCAGCCTTTCTCTTAGGATTTCCAGCATGTCCAGTCCTGTTCGGAAATTCCATTGGAACAGCCATTGTCTCTGTATTTTGTTACTTTCCGTTTCGATGCTGAATGGGATCCACAAGTGAAAAATATCCCTGAATCTTCCTCCATCTTAAAAAAGATTTGGCATGAGTGCTGTTCTAAACATAGGCGGCATTTTACTGGGGAAATGTTTTTATGTCTGAACCAGCTTGCACATCACTACTCTGGGTTTAGAATTATGATTTCATAATGCATGGCCTAGTTAAGTAGGTGTCACATAGCCTTTAGCTTCCTGCCTACGGAGTCAGCTATTACATGATAATTAACTACTTGTTAATGCTCAAATTTAGTATCTCTGCTATTTTATTATTCACGTTTTTAAATATCCTAACTAGGACTAATCCATACTATGGGCCAATGGTGTCTGGTAACTACGCTACGGGTAACTACAGACATGTCCAAAGAGATGTCTGAATACTCACTGTATTGTAGGAGCTGTGAATTGTGTTGCAGAGAGGTTGAGTTAGACAAACACGCACAATTTTAAACCTGAACCCATTAAACACTGGATTGCTGGTGATATGCTAAAACAGTGAAAACATAGTAGTTTAATTAATTATCTTCTAAAACAGAATAGTGAATAGAGGGTATCCAGATAACAGATCTAGAAAAATGGTCTTATCTCTTTAAGTGTGTTTTGCTGCTCTTTTACCTTTTCTAATGTAATTGTGAATGTTCATATACTCTATGTAAAGTGTAATTTTATTTTATCTATTCTTTAACTCTTTTGTTTACCCTGCTAGGCTTTTGGCCTCAGTTATATCTTGTGTTAGTGAGTTCCATGTGTTAATTATTGTGTAAAAGAAATTTTCTGAATGTAGTAGATTTTGCTGTATGCTATAGATAATTTTTTTCTGCATCACTCTTATATGATGAAATCAGCACTGTCCCTTGGTTTGGGATGTATTTGTTGACTCACATACCTTAATGCGGTATAGTCCGGCCTTGCACTTTACAAGGAATTCCTATTAACTCACATAAATTCGTGTTCTTTAGAGTGGCACATTTACAGCCCTGTGCTATACATCTGTTATTTTTTTTAGTATTCCCATGCAGCACAGCATGTAAATGTATGGGCCCTGAATGTGCACTTGTGGTGGAGCTTAGGTTGTTAATAGAACATTCATGCAGCTTTGAGGAACTACTGTACTGTGTCCGAAGGGATTCCTCTTACTTATCTCATGCAGAGGTTACTGGGAAATCAGTTTGTAGAATACAGTATAGTTTTGTGTTTAATAATACCTGGCTTTGCTAACATTTTAATTTTTGAAAAAAAAATATGAAAGAAGAAGAAGATTTTAACACTCAGGGTAATAGCATTACTTAGCGTAAATAGATTAGGGTAGCTCAAAGGAGAAGGGTGATCTGGCCAACATCTAGAATAGTCTCTTCCTGAATTTTGAAGATATTACATTATCTCAGGGCTGTGACCTTTATTGCATTTTTTGGTTTTGTGTTTTCCATTTGACCTTAAAATTATACTTGATACCATTAGTTCACTGTGACATTCAAAAGAGCCAGTTGCAGGAGAAACATAATTACATTACAACCGTGGATTTCTGTTTGATCACACAAACTCAAAAGAGCATTCTGGCACACAAAAACTACTTCATGGATGGAACAGGCACCACTGCTCAGAGTAAAAGAGTTTTTTCCTCTTGCACTGACCATTTATAGAACAAGATTTCTGTGGAGTGTTTTGAGGTACTATAATGATAATACATTGATCTTGATTTGGGACAGAAAGAGTATGAGTTAAAAAGTAAATAATAATAATAGAAAATAATGAAAATATAAAACTAAAAGGTAAGGCATATCAAAGAAGATAAGAAAGGTGTCACAAATAACAGCAATGCAAGTTGCCAGGGGTTCGTATAAAAAGAAACACAAGGAGAAAAGCCATGAGAGTTAAAGTGAAAATAGGAATAAATATATGATTGTATTGCTTCCTTCCTTTGCCACTTTGTCCATATGGACCTTGATTCTGCATGCCACTCTGTGCGGATATATATTATAGTTCAATGCATGGCACTGGGGTTTGCCTTCTCAGAACAGCTTACAGGATGGGGGCACTAAATTGTAAGCTTTCTGGGAGAGTTTTATTTTGTGTCTTTAAAGTGCCAGCACACTTTTGTGGGGCTGGTAAAAATAATAAATTGTAATCTTATTAATTAATTCTTAAACCTCTTGCTTGCTTTTTAATTATTAAGGATCAGGAAGGAACAGGTAGATTCTCTGATAATTAGAAGATGGCTGATTACACTCCCAGTTTTGTTTTTTACATTGGTTTGTAACAAATATTCTCATTGAAACTTTTGTTCCCTCTCCCCAGGTTGTCATTGTTTCTCCTGGGGATGGAATGAACATGGGATGTGTGGTGATGGCACAGAAGCAAATGTTTATGCCCCGACGCCAATCGCAGCTCTTGGTTCTGCAAAACCATTCTTAATTGGATGTGGGGCAGGACACTCTATGGTTCTTTGTCAGATTCCAGGTTAGACCTTACACACTGGAAGCCATAGCCATGTGAATTTGGACATCTTTGCATACAGCTCTTCAGAAGCGTTGTGAGAGAATTATTTAATACTGGCATAACAGCCTGATGGTACAGAAGAAAATAAGGGTAAAAAACTCCTTTGTTCTGAACCCAGAATTTCAAAAAAATGAACTAATGTGCTGAGAAAACTGTTTAATAAAAACGTTTATAAATATATTACTGGAAATTATTTCACAGGTTCTTTTCACAGGAGATGACGTTGTTGTCCATGGGTAAAATGAATAAACGTTTTGCTTTGCTGCTACATAAATGAAGCAAGAAGGATTTTCTCCCCCAACATTTACAGTAACAAAATACAGAGTTCTTTTGGATGATTTTAGCAGTTGATAACAGATTTATGGCTTTTGCAGAGAAAGTGTTACTCACTGATGTAAGGGTGAGCTTAGGTGGTGTCTGAAGAAGTAGTGTGAGTCTGTGAGCACACACAGGGATTGTTTGGTTGTTTTTTAAATGGTGATGAGCATTTGCAGCTCCCATTGACTTTTATTGGAGTTGTGAGTGCCTACTACTCTGGAAATCAAGCCATATTGCATAGACACCTGAATTTTTGAATATGTTATTCAAGAAAGCCTTGGCTCCAAGTAGGAAGTAGATCTAACTTAGAAGGCTGTTGGAGAAAGAGAGGGTGCTTTGATCCTAAAATTGACTACATATATATCTTTATTACACTATTATAATAGTGTGGTTATAGTTGAATTTCCTTCTGCAGTAGAAACCCCAGTTATTTTGGATTTATAATAGTGATGAGCCAACCAGTTCATATAAAACAAAAACTAGATGAACCTTCTTCTGAAACTCAAACCAAGCCTGCACTTTTTGAGGTGGGCAAAGTCTGGCAATGTTCTTTCTTTTTTAAATGTTCAAACCCCTCCATCCTTCCTCTGGGTCAGTAAATGTGAGTTCCAGGCTACCACCGGGGAAGCTATACTCTCAGTAGCTTCCATTAGGTTTTGGAAGGGATCCAGTTTCAGGGCAAAAGCCAACCTCTACTTAATAGGGTTAAGAAGAAACTCTCTGGGAGCAGGTTATCCAGATATAAATGCTTGCCGCAGGTTTTGCTGCATCTTTCTTTTAAGCACTGGGTTCTGGCCACTGTCAGAGACAGGATTCTTGACTTGATGGTCCACTGGTCCAATTCAGCGTGGCACTGGCAACTCCTATGTTTCCAATGCTCCTAAAAACAGGGAGTTCTCAAAATTTCACAAGAGTGTTCTCATGAGATTTCCAGCTTAATATGAACACCAAATAGATCCTGGTTAAATATAGATTAGCTGTGGTTACACTTCCCAGCCCAACAAAACCGCTGATCCCTTGAAAGTTTAGAACTTGGCCAAAACAGCTTGTTCTAGGCTAGTGCTTGGTATGGAAAGTTTGGGCCTAGCAGTGATTTTTGTGAGCTGAGGTGGAGGAGAGGGAATTCCATTTTTAAAAACCTCCAACTGTTTGTGTTGAGCAGAATTTAAAAAGCTAATTTAGTGAACTCTTTTGCACACAAATACAGTGAGGAACATTAAATTGGATCTTTACCACCCACAGTAGTTAAATTTACTGTGGTATTTTAGGTATTTCACATTCTAAGTATCGGGAATACCACTGTGTGGTAAATATTCATTGTTAATGATGCCCACTGTTTCATTTTTAAAAGCAAGTTTACCAGGGAATGAGCCTGTCAAACTAATTGCCTTATTGAACTAGAAAAATATTTTAAATGGGTTATTAGGAAATTGCACAGGAAAACATTCTAATGATATCATATCAGTTCAGTCCAGTCATGAAAGAGAGAATTAGGCAATACATATGGGCTGTAGGGATGGACTGTCCTTATAATGGGAAACCTTTTACCCAAGTACATACACAAAAGAAGCTCCAAAAAGAGGATATGTATTTACAAATTTGGTCACCATGTTTAGCATACTTTCAAGAGGCAGGCTCCCCAGCCAGCAAGCTGGAATCTTGAGCCAGGTTCTTTGAATATTAACGTGATCCTGAATCATGAATTTATGTTGTCTTATGTTAACATTTTATTGTAGCTTTGCCTTAATGAAAAGTTTCTTTAAAAAAATGGTAGCCAGGGCTCAGGAACTAGTTTACAGGTATTTTTCTTTGCATTTTCAATGGGAAATAAACCTGAATGCGTGACTGAATAAAAGTATGAAGATGATATTCAACAGGCTAAAGCTATTTTATAAAATGGAGGGACAATAAAGTGGCCCAGTGCAGCCTAAAAAAAGGGGCAGAAAAGATCCTTCTGTTTATGAAAAATTCGCCATCCATGTACTTGGATGTATTTGCCCATAATAAGGTACCATGTTGGATGTATTTACCTATGGGAATGTACCTTTTCAACTATGAGCTTCTGCGCTACTTCTTACTGCCTAGACTGTTCTTCATTGGGTCTGCTCCTTACTACTTTCCAGCCCCTTGTCTCTCCATTATGCACACTGGGTGATTTATCATGCCTTTTTGCAGATCCCCTCCTGAAGTTTCCATCCATTCCTATTAGGTGCCACAGACCTCCCAGCTATGTTAGTTTGCCTCAGCAATCCCACCCTTCAGGGTAAGTTTGTAAGGGAGAGACCTTACTTGATTTTCTAACTTGTGTATATCCCTTAAAACTGACTGGTCTCTAAGAAAGTCCCATATTGTCCACTCATGTGGGTTATTATTTATGTGTTAGCGCTGCGATTCAGTTAAGAATTACCCATACAAATTCACAAAAGTAAATGTTATTTATTACGTTACATAGCATTTGCTCCTTCAACCACATCAAATGGAAACACCTCAAAAGGATTGAAAAAACTCCTTTTAAACAAGTCTCCTCAGAGGTTAATTTAGACTTTATTCTATAAACTAGGTTCGATGGGGGCAAGTGACAAAAGTCCATAGATAAGTTAAAAAACAACAACACATGGAAACCTTGGAGAAGGGTCAGAATCGGGGGGCAGCAGGGGGGGAGACATGGGCCGTTATAGCAGGGATAAGGGAGAGAGAAGAGAGAATGCGGGGGGAAAACAAATCAGTATCTTAGATGTCTGTTTTCTAATTCAAGAATTATGGAGAATAAGCAGGAATAACTTGAAGTGCTAGTTAATAAACACAGCTATGACATAGTTGGCATCACAGAGACTTGGTGGGATAATATGCATGACTGGAATATTGGTATAGAAGGGTACAGCTTGCTCAGGAAGGACAGGCAGGGGGAAAAGGGAGGTGATGTTGCCTTATATATTAAAAATGTATACACTTGGACTGAGGTTGAGATAGAAATAGGAGACAAACTTGTTGAAAATCTCTGGGTAAAAAACAAGGGTGGTGTCATGGTAGGGGTCAACTACAGACCACCTAACCAGAAAGAAGAGGTGGAGGAGGCTTTTTTAAAAAAAAGAAAACAACTAACAAAATCATCCAAAGCACAGGACTTGGTGGTGATGGGGGACTTCAACTACCCAGATATCTGTTGGGAAAATATTATAGCAGGGCACAGATTTTCCAACAAGTTCTTGAAATGTATTGGAGACAATTTTTTATTTCAGAAGGCGAAGAAAGCTCCAGGGGAGAGACTGTTTTAGATTTGATTTTGACAAATAGGGAGGAACTGGTTGTGAGTTTGAAAGTGGAAGGCAGCTTGGGTGAAAGTGATCATGAAATGGTAGAGTTCATGATTCTAAGGAATGGTAGAATGGAAAACAGCACAATAAACGTAATAGTTTTCAAGAAGGCAGACTTTAGCAAACTCCAGGGGTTGGTAGGTAAGTTCCCATAGGAAGAAGTCTAAAGGGAAAAATAGTTCAAGACAGTTGGCTATTTTTCAAAGAGACATTATTAAGACCACCACTGGGATGTATAAGCAGGAGTGTTGTAAGCAAGACACGAGAAGTAATTCTTCCGCTCTACTCCACGCTGATTAGGCCTCAACTGGAGTATTGTGTCCAGTTCTGGGCACCACGTTCCAGGAAACATGTGGACAAATTGGAGAAGGTCCAGAAAAGAGCAACAAAAATGATTAAAGGTCTAGAAAACATGACCTATGAGGGAAGATTGAAAAAATTGGGTTTGTTTAGTCTGGAGAAGAGAAGACTGAGAGGGAACATAACAGTTTTCAAGTACATAAAAGGTTGTTACAAGGAGGAGGGAGAAAAATTGTTCTCCTTAACCTCTGAGGATAGGACTAGAAACAATGGGCTTAAATTGCAGCAAAGGCGATTTAGGTTGGACATTAGGAAAAACTTCCTAACTGTCAGAGTGGTTAAGCACTAGAATAAATTGCCTAGGGAGGTTGTGGAATCTCCATCATTGGAGATTTTTAAGAGCAGGTTAGACAAACACCTATCAGGGATGATCTAGATAATACTTAGTCCTGCCTTGAGTGCAGGGGACTGGACTAGATGATCTCTCAAGGTCCCTTCCACTCCTATAATTCTCTATGATTCCTTAGGGAAGGAGGGTCTTGTGGTTAAGGCATTGGACTTGGGACCCAAGGAGATCTGTGTTCAGTTTCTGGTTTTGCCACAGGCTTCCTGTGTGCCTCAGTTCCCCATCTTTAAAACTGGGCTAACAACACTTCCTTTCTTCCACTCTTAGACTGTAAGCTCTTCAGGGCAGGGGTTTTATGTTTGTACAACACCTAGCACAAGGGGGGGGGTATTATTCTAGTGCAAATAATGTATAATAATTCTCTGTACACAGTGCAGTATTCAGTGGTAATAGCAAGTTGGTGTTTGTTCATTAGAAAATAAATCCCCTGTTTTTATGTGTCAGTATGTTTGGTTTTGCAGAATAAAACCTTATGATAAGTCAGCTGATAC